TGAGGACCCACTGGCCATTTATATCTTTTAAAATAGTCTTCACACCCAACTTGGGTGGTAATAGCACATACCTGTAATGCCAGAACTCAAGAAGCAGAGAAAGGAAGATCTCCCAGTTTGAGGCCAGCCTGTGATGGGGGATGTCCTTCTGTGTGCTGTGAATATGTTTCTCTTCTTGGTTGATGAATAAAGCTCTTTCGGCCAATGGACAGGCAGGATGTAGCCAGGCAACCAGACTAGGAGATCTGGGAAGAGGAAGACAGAGAGTGGATCACCAGAGAGAAGCCATGTAGCTGCCAAGGAAGAAAGGTCCAGGCATCACAGGTAAGCCAACACCTTATGGAGATACATAGGTTAATAGAAATGGATTAATAATTAAGAGAGAGCTAGACAATGAGAAGCCTGAGCCATCTGCCAAACAGTTTATAATTAACATAAGCTTCTGTGTGTTTATTTGGGACTAAATGGGCATGGGACCAGGGACAGAAACTTCTGTCCACAAGCTTGGTCTACAAAGCAAATTCCAGGACAACCAGGGCTACACAGAGAAACCTTGTCGAGAAAAAAAAAAGTCTGAGAAAATGCTATCAGCATTTCCCTGAGTTTTCTGAAAACTCAAATAAAACTTCTTAATGGTCAAATCAGTCATTCCATTAAACTCCAAAGAAATTCTTTTTTTTCCCCCATCAAATTCCAACAGACTAATATGAAGTATGTTGTTTCCTCATAATCTTTATGTGCCAGCCATAGTTTTCCCCCTCTGTTGCTGACAACTGAGTACAGACGTAGGGGCATGAGTTGTGTGACCTTTGACCCAGCCAGCCCTGGTCTTCTGAGCCTAAGCCACATCCCACAATTAAATCCTCCAAGTATAAATACAGACACTGTATTGTGTTGAAAAGCTCATTAGCACAAGACCTATTTTATAGATTACATTCAAATCATAGTGTAGGGAAACTAGCCCTCTGACAGGATTAAAGACGGTATTTAAATAAGGATCAACTTCAGCTGTCTAAGGCAGCTGTAGCAAGCCAGTCAGTCAGAGCACAGATACAAACCAGCCATATCTTCCTGAGGCCAGGATGAAGTCAGGGTATTCGAAGGAAAGTGACCTTTCTGAGGAGGCCAGCAAACACCATGACAGGCTCCTAATAACTCAGTTAGGATCTAGGTCTCAGTTCCTGCCTCTTGAAACTAAACAAGATAGCTTCTGAGGAAGACCTGAACAAACGGCAATCAGTCATCAACACCCCTGACAGTGAGGACAAGGGGGACTGCACATACTAGGTCAGGTCAACCCCACCCCCATTACCTCAACACAATAACCACGTAAGGACAAAGTCTGGGATTTGTTCAGACTTGCTCAAAAGTGGAAAAGCTATAGCCTTAGCCAACCCGTTAGCCCTAAGCAATTAGAAACACACTAGCTTCCTGTCGCGGCCGCCATCGGAGAGGAGCAGCCATGGCCCTGCACTACCCCATGGCCGTGGGCTTAACAAGGGCCACACGGTGACGAAGAACATCAGCCAGCTGAGGCACAGCCGGCGGCGCGGGCGCCTCACGAAGCACACCAAGTTCGTGCGGGACATGATCCGGGAGGTGTGCGCCTTCGCGCCCTACAAGCGGCGGGCCATGGAGCCGCTCAAGGTGTCCAAGGACAAGCGTGCGCTCAAGTTCATCAAGAAGCGGGTGGGCACGCACATCCGCGCCAAGAGGAAGCGGGAGGAGCTGAGCAACGTGCTGGCGGCCATGCGGAAGGCGGCGGCCAAGAAGGACTGACCCCCTCTCCCCCAATAAATGTTGTGCGGGGGGGGAAGAAACACACTAATATGATTGCCACTGGCATGAACTAATCCTAGATAGAGATGATCTCATTGCCTTTAGAATTCCTTTAGCTGTGTATAAAAGAGCCTGCAAGCTTTTCTGGGGGTCACCATTTTAGCCTTTGTGTTGGAAGCAGCATGTCGGTATTTCTATTCTCCAGATAATAAATGCTCTTGCTGATTGCATGAGTGGATGGTGGTCTTTTGTGGGACGTCCCTGGGACCCTAACACATTTAACCAGGGAACTTTGTAAACATGACTCATCATATCTGACAGTGTGGTGGTTTGAGTGAAAAATGGTCCTCATAGGCTCATAGGGACTAGCATTATATGAAAGCATTAGGGTGTATGGCCTTGATGGAAGAAGTGTGTCACTGGGGGTGGGTGGACTTTGAAGTTTCAAATGCTCCAGTCAGGCCCAGTGTCTCTGTAAGCATTTCGGTCTGATCGGGATGGGACAGGAGTGGGTCAGATATTCTGGCACTCTGGAGTCACAGGATACTGAGTGTTACACAGCTCAGGTGGAAAGGTATCCTGGAGCTCGGGAACCAAGGACCACCACAGGTTGCAGTAAGCTTAGCTGTTTACAGCCCAGCCTCAGGGAAAGGCTTCCCCAGTGTATCGGCTCTGCTCTGGCAGGACAGGGTCTTCCTGCTGGGGATGTTCGCCCAGTGTAGCAGTTTTGCTCCGCAGGAGGTTTCTGGGACGAAGTTGCTACAGTTCAGCTCTGCTCCCAGAGAGCAGAGAGCAGAGCTCTGCCAAGGGAAGGTTTCCTGGGCAAAAGTGTTACAGCCCTGCTTGCTCTGCTCTGCCCAGGGTCACCCCTGCTCCGTTGCCACCACAAAAGCTGATCTTCACCCAAAGCTCATCCAAGGGGTTTATTGGGAAGGAAGGAGCCAGGAGAGTGGCTACCCTGCCTGGTAGAACAGACACAGGGTTTGTATAGGGCTTCCAGGGTGGGGATTGGTCAGATTTTAGTGCTGAGATCAGATTGGCTAGAGCTCTGCTCAGGGATTGGTTAGTTTTCTGCACAGAATTAGGATCAGATTTAGAGCCAAAGTGTGTTTCTTTCTCTGGTCCTTTTTAGCCTTTTGGCTCCAATTTTAGGGCCAGGGTGCATTTCTTTCACTGACTCAGATTCCAGGGATAAAGTGTGTTCCTTTGGCACTGGTTTCAGGGTCAGGGTACATTTCTTTAGGTCTGGTTGCAGGGTCAAAGTGTGTTTCTTTGGCTCTGCTCAGGGTGTGTTTCTTTGACTGGTCCCTTTTCCCTCCAGTCTCTCTTCCTGCTGCCTGCTGATCCAGATGTAGAACTCTCAGCTCCTTTCTCCAGCACCATGTTTGTATGCTTCTCACAATGACAATAAGTAAGTCATCATAAGACTGGCTCAGTGGTTAAGAGCTCTTACTGTTCTAGAGGACCCAGGTTTAGTTCTTACCCCACATCAAGTGATTCACAAAGAGGTGTACATGAACCCACACAGGCAAACATAGAAATCAATACATCTTTTTAAATTAATAAACCTTCTCTAACATCGCTAAAATGGTTTTTGCTGATACTAGACAGTTATAATCTGAACAAGTAAGAATTAGTCATTTCTCACTATGACAAAAAAAAGTAGCTCCCCAACAAAAACTTCCGTATCACTTCCCCCAAATAAGGGAAGCATACATGTGAACAATGTGGGCAAGGATGACTTTGAATTTCTGATTTGGCTACCTTTACCTCCCAATTTCAGGATTACAGGTTGGTGTCAACATGTTCAGCTTCCCAGGGACTGTTTTGAATAAGAACTAGAGACTGTGTGCGAACCAGCTAGAGAACAAGAAATCAACCAGGTCTTTTTGCTTTTGGAGACAGGGTTTCTCTGTGTAGCTTTGGAGCCTGACCTGGAATTCACTTTGTAGACCAAGCAGCCTCGAATTCACAGAGATCCACCTGTCTCTGCCTCCCCAGTGCTGGAATTAAAGATGTGTGCCACCACCGCCCAACAAGAAGTAGGATTAAGGATGCCTAAAGAACAGGGGGGTCTTACGCCTGCCTGCTCTAAAAGTAATCATTCTATTGTTCTAAGGAGACACTATGACCACGATGGAGTAGAAAAGAAATCATTTAATTGGGGGTTTGATTACATTTTCAGAAGGTGAGTCCATGGTCATCGAAGCAAGAAGCATGGTGCCTGGCAGGCAGGCAAGCAGGGGGCTGCTGCAGTAGATGAGAGCTTGCTTTCTCACATCTAGATTAGCAGGCAGGAGGCAGAGCAAGCAGGAATACCTAGTTGGGCTTTGAAGTTTCCAAAGCCGAACTCCAAGGGACTCACCTCCTCTAAAGGCCACACCTCCTAATCCTTCCTAAAACAGCTGTAGCAACTAGGGAGGAAGCATTCAAACCACCACAAGGGGCTTTAAGGGAAGGGAGAAACTGGTCCAAAGTTGAGGCAGGAATACAAAATAAAACAAAGACAGAATCTGTTGAGACTATCAGTGGGAGCTACAAGTTTAGCTAATTGCTGGTGTAGCAAAGTTGGAAACCTGTAGTGCTTATGTCTAGCCTTTGTCAAGGGCTAGCAAGGATAGAGTAGGGGCATTTTTTTTTATTTTAAAATATTTCTTTTAGTCTTAAAATACTTTTTAAAATTTTAAGGCTAAAATATTTCTAATTTTAAAGTATTTTAAATTTTAAAGCTAAAGTATTTTTAATTTTAAAATATTTTTAATTTAAAATCTTTAAATATTTTTAAATTAAAATTTTAATTTAAAAATATTTTTAATGGTGTGTGTGTGTGTATGTGTGTGTGTGTGTGTGGGCATTTGGCTTGCATGTATACTGCGCACCACTTGCACGCTTGGTGCCAGCAGAAGGTGTCGTACCCCCTGAGATGAATTAAGGTCGAAGAAAGCCATGGGCGCTGGGTGTTAAGCCGTGGTCATTTAACTGCCGAGCCACCTCCAGCATCTGCCCTGAAAGTCGTTAAACCGAGACTATTTTTCTAATATCACAGAACTCAGGAAAAGTATGCCCTGTTGCCATATAAAGGAAACACCCAGAGTTCTAGAAGTTCTTTGTGACTTGACAGTTGAGACAGGTCGTAAAAGAAAAAAAAATTCGAGAATAACTTGAGTTTTTCTACAATCCATGCTACCGAGATAGCCTCCACTAGCAGCCCTGGTGTCAATGCCACTCTGAGAGAATATGTAAAGAAGAACGCTCCACGGACCAATCAGAGTGGAGTGTTCAATCACGCCACCAGGTGGGCGACCAATAGGAATGCAGTGGGTTCTATAAAAGCCGAGCCCACAGGGCACCTTTCACATTCGAGGAGCAGAGAAGAAAGGAGCTTCGAGACTATGGCACGCACCAAGCAGACAGCGCGGAAGTCGACTGGAGGCAAGGCTCCAAGGAAGCAGCTGGCCACGAAGGTGGCTCGGAAGAGTGCACCGGCTACTGGCGGTGTTAAGAAGCCGCATCGCTACCACCCAGGCACGGTGGCGCTGCGTGAGATCCGCCGCTACCAGAAGTCCACTGAGCTGCTGATTCGCAGGCTGCCGTTCCAGCGCCTGGTGCGTGAGATCGCCCAGGATTTCAAGACTGACCTGCGCTTCCAGAGCTCGGCGGTGATGGCGCTGCAGGAGGCCTGCGAAGCCTATCTCGTGGGGCTATTCGAAGACACCAACCTGTGTGCCATCCACGCCAAGCGGGTGACCATCATGCCGAAAGACATCCAGCTGGCTCGTCGTATTCGCGGAGAGCGGGTTTAGACGCCACAGGCTCCTCATCTTTGCAAGACCTTCATTCAACCCAAAGGCTCTTTTCAGAGCCACCCACCAAGTCTGAGAAAGTGGTTGTAACCTTGTAGATATGATCCTATCCTCTTTGCAGAGATCCGAACAAGCTGGCTGGAAGTCCAGTGCTGCGGACCCATGCCTGTTTAAGCTGTTTGGTCCGCAATTCCCTCCTGACTTACGTAGGTCTCGCCTGAACCTCTAACAAGGTTGTAGTGCTGACGCCCTACCTGGGAAAGAGTCCAACTTGCACAGGCGGCAAATACACTGCCACAACTATGGTGTGTGTTTGCATGGTGTGCCAGCTTGAAGTCCTCCAGCTAACTCCCATTACAAGTCCCGGAAATCTTGCACTTTGGTCTAAAAGACTGACCAAAGTGCAAGTTTTTCGTGTGTTAAAAGCCTTTCTCCTACGATGGAAAAGCACAGTGAGCTGTATTAAACGCTAGTCTGTTAACTTTGTCTCATTTGTTATGGCGGTTAAGGAAAATGTTTCAGGGATACATCCAGAGGCTCCTGTGTTCTACAGACTCTGACTTTCCATTTAGGGTAGGGAAGTCCAGCTATTGTGTTTACTCAGCCTACAGTATGTTTAAGCATCGATGGTAAAAATACCTCTAGCAAAAGGGTGCATAAGGCCGGGCGTTGGTGGCGCACACCTTTAATCCCAGCACTCGGGTGGCAGAGGCAGGTGGATCTCTGAGTTTGAGACCAGCCTGGTCTACTGAGTGAGTTCCAGGACAGCCTCCAAAACAATACAGAGAAACCCTGTCTCGAAAAACAACCCCCCCCAAAAAGGTGCATAAGATGCTAGTATACAATCAAAAATTCTTGAAGTGCAATAGGTCTCATTTACTCAAAACTGAAAAGCATCATGGCTTTAGTTTTCAGAACTGGAGATCATGTAATTTTAAAATGTATGTAAGTTAATGACTAATGATCCCTAGAGAGCCATCCAGAAAGTTTAGAATGTCCAGGGACAACTGTCCCTTTCTCTCAAATCAGCTGTAACCTAGAAATATATCTATAGTTGGGAGCTAAAGTCATGGCTCAGCAGATAAAGTGCTTTCTACTTAAGTGAGGTCCTGATTTTGATTCCCAGATCCCAGGTAAAAAGCCAGGCATGGTGGTATATACTTATAACCCCAGCACTAGGGACACAAGAGTTCTGGGACTTGATGGCCATCAGCTTAGCCTACTTGACAAATTGCAATCCAGTTAGAGACCCTGTTAAAAAGGAAAGATAAAGTGGGGGTTATACAGACAGCTAGGCAGTTAAGATGCTTGCTGCTCCTCGAGAGGCACCCGTTTGGTTCCAGTACCCACATAGGGTGCTCACAATTGCCTGTAACTCCAGCTCTACAGAATCTAACACCCTCCTCCAGATATGCATACACAGGCATACTAGGAAGTGTGCACATGCAAGCAATAATAAAATAAAACCTAAAAGGTTTAAGGCTCCCATGGAACAACATCTAAGGTCTTCTAAACTCACCTGACTTGGATGTCTCAGTGTGGGTGTGGGTTCACAGGGTCCATCAAAAGAAAACCCAGAGACACTTTAAAAATGAATTTAACCATTGCAGCTGCAGGGGATCCCAGCTTTGAGGAACTGAAGTATAGTCCCTACACCCAGGACATTTTTTTTTATATTTACACTTTAGCAAGTTGATTACAAACTTGGATGAGGCTTCCAAAAAGACAATGCCAAGAGCAAATTCTCGATTCATCCGGTACCACAGCTTTCTGAGTTTCCTAAAGCGAACTTTGCATAGGCCTTTGTCTTCTTGGGAAAGTCCCAAAGAAAGTTCACATAAGGGGACAAAAGATCCAGTCTGTCAAAGGATGAGTTAGGCTCCGTGCTAGCTCTCTGGAGGTAGGCCAGGTGCCACCCAGTGATAGTTGCTATCACTGCAGCACCAGATCAGCAGGATACCACTGTAGTCACCAACACATTAAAAAAATAAGATACATAAATATGCATGTGTCTGCGCACGTGTGTGCTCTCTCAATATGTATGAAGTTACTCTTTTCTGATTTGTGAGTCCCATGGACAAGCTGTCAGACAATGATAGGAGGATCCTGCTGGGTCTGAGTTTGGCCTGTGGAGCTTTAGGAACGGAACTGCCCATTGAGTAAGGTATATTTGGAAGCTTCTAGAACTTTAGTAAAGTAGCAGAAAGAATTTTGGGACTCTTTGTGAGCCCCACTCTCTAGCCAGCCCCAGCAATCCTACTACTCAGCTGCAGGCTTCCCTAGTTGACACCTCCAAGGACCATCTGCATAGACTGCTTCCTCCGCACCTGGTTAGAGATCACTGTTCAGCTTGGGCTGCCATGAAAAGTCACTGGAGATGTGGTACCCAGGACATACTCACACTGACAACATTCCCCTGTCTTTGGGAGTCTTTGGAGGCTGGACTCAACATTTACATGATAAAGACTTGACTCCTATCACTTTAGAATGACTGTACCTGTATCTTTAAGGACAGGTACTTGAGGTAATTAAAGTTGTTGGGATGATCTTAGGTCAGGGTGACTGGTGTCTTTGTAAGAAGAGATCAGGACACAGACACCCATAAGACACCGTGAGGACTAAGAGAAGACATGACTGCAAGCCAAAGAGAGGAGAGCAGTCTTGAAGAGACAGCCCTCTGAAGCATTTCAGACAGGAAGAAATTCCTTGCTGCCAGCGGTGGTGCAGCATGTAATCCCAGCACCTGAGAAACTGAGATGGGAAGATCGCAAGCTGGAGACCAGCCTGGAATACCCCATCTTTAAAAACTGTGACTAAGTCTCCCAGACACTCTACTAGTATGAGCACAGCTGGTATGGCTTGATGGCAGACTGCTATATGGGTGTGTGGGTTCAAGCGGCCCGAATAAAGAAGACACAGAGGCCCTCTTAGGATGAGTCAGCCTTTCCAGCTCTAGTCAAGGGGAACTGACTCACTGCCCCTCAGTAAAGGGCGTTTTTATTGTTATACAATTCACACCTGTAGCAACTTAATTTCCTATACCGAAACCTCTTTTCTATCTGAGCTCCTCAAAGAGACAATGCCAATGCAGATTCCAAAAGTCCCAGGACATCTGAGTTTGCTGAGTTCTCCAGTGAGCAGGTTTCGCATAGGCTTGAACCTTTAGGAAAGAAACTTTCAGATAAGATTTACTTCCAACAGAAGGTACCGGACACAAAGGGTAGCCATCCCAAAAGGCAGATCAAAGCTATGTGCTAACACTCCTGAATCAAACCAACTGCAGAGTTCTGCAGGAAGGAACCCTTGCCACAGTAAAACACTAGCCTAGCCTGTGCAAGGTTCTGGGTTCAATCCCTATCTAGCAATCCCCTCAAAAAATGAGCAGGAATACTTTTTATTATTCTCCTTCCTCCATACAACACAGAGAAGGCCTTCTGGAATTCAAAACAAAAGAAGCTATGGACTCTTGCTGTGCCTGTAAGTACAATGGAAATTATGTGACTATATTGGGCCTAAAAAAGGCACGGATGTGAGGCCCAGTGTAAGCTCCTGAGCCTGGCTAGAGTTTGGCGACCTGTCTCTGGCCTGTAACCTCCACATGGGGGTGACTCAGTAAGACCTGATGTAAGGTTGCCCCCTGCCTAGCTACATGCCAGCTTGGTGGAATACTATTGACCTCTGCTCCTCACATCATCTTATCCCATCCTGTGATTTCCATCCTCTACTTCAGCCCCGGGAAGAGACTGGCTGGACCAGCCCTTCCTCTGCTCTACCTGCTGGAGGGCTGGAGTCATTAGTCACAGTGGAGTTGGGGGGACGGATGGGGACTGTCCTGCAGAGAAAGACAGATGATCACTAACTCGGGTAGTGAGGCACTGGACTGACTTCAGATCAGCCAATTACTGGGGACCATGGCTATCCCTTTCCCAAGACCCCGGTTTATAATGTACCCTTTCCCAACCTGATGTGTGGAAACAGACTCCAAAAATTCTGTGGCTTGCTTGAGATGCCCAGCATCATCTAAAGTCAGGTGGAGAATGAATGCTGAAGTCTGACGCCCTTTCCTCCAACCTCCTGTAAGTTAATGCGGAAAAGACACCGGAGGAAAAATCCCACATGCTTGCACATGAGTGGTGCGATGCAGGTTGGACCCCAAGTGTGCTATCTGACCTGATGTGTCCTGTGCTGTATCAAGACAACCTCAGAAATTTCTGCCTTTCCTTCAAGCCCTTCTGGTCCAGGGAAACCTCCAGAGTGATCTGTGTGTTTGTCTCTCCTATGAGCCCTTTCTACTTCAAAGGTGAACTTGGCCTACCCTTTTATTTTCTGTATTTCAGGCTGCAGTGGCATCTAGGACTTGCCGGCCCTGGATGTCCTTTCCCCTGGACTGCCCAACTCCTAGGTAGGGAACAGGTCACTAGGACTTTGTATTTCATATACAGACCGTTTATGCTGAGCTGGTTAAGAGCACTGGGCTGCTCTTGCAGAGGGCCTGAGTTCAGTTCCCAGTCCTCACATCATGGGGCAGCTCACAACTACCTGTAACTCCAGTTCAGGGGCTGGAACACGTCTGGCCTCCACGGGCAATGCACTCATATGCATACCCACATACATGCACTGTAGAAGGACATGAGGTCCCATGCATGCAGATAACAATGGAGAAGCCAGAACTGTTAAACATGCTTGCTACCCTCTTCACTGGAAGATGTTTACACCTATTTCACCCGGAAGCCTGGGAGTGGCTGTTGCTTGTAGCCTATAATCTTTGCTATTCCCTGACACCCCAGACTCCTGAGCACTGTTTCTCAAAGGACCCATTCTTATGGAAGAGGTTCTATATACTTTACAAAAGAGCTTTACTGCTATGCTTATTACAAACCCCTCCTCCTAGACTCTTATCCTGAGCCCTGTTTCTCCGTCACTAGAACTCATGAAAGAGGCACTTTGCAAAACACCTGTGCTTTGCAAAGGAATCTGATGCACCTCGATGCCCTCACATCTTAAGCTTTATTGTGATAATTGTGACAAGAAAACTTTTTTCCAGAGTTATGCTGTGCTTAAACATGTCAAAAATAAACCCACTTGGGAGTCAGACTCCAGGAGTTTGAACCAGCCAAGCTAAGTTGTGCTGAACTGGGTTTCTTTCTTGCCTCTCAGGGTTTGTTTCTCTGCCAGCCGTAGAGTTTGCAGAGACACACACACACACATGATTAAAAATAAAAATTAAATAGTAAAAAAACACTTACTCAGTTTGTGTTGCTATGACAGAGGCCTGAGGTCATCTCCTTCAAGGGGGAAGGTTTATTTTGGATCCTGATTTGAGAGACTTCCGCATGGCTGACATTGCTTTGGGGTTCGTGGTGTCACTGTTCATCGCCAACATATGAACGGTATTGTTCACCTCAATCAAGCAAAACGAAGAGACAAAGTAACTACCATTTTAATCCCCCTTCACGGACACACCCAAATGTCCTAACATCCTTCTGCAAGGCTCCAGTTCCTGAAGCCTCTACCACTTCTTAATAGTGACACACTATGGTGGCAAGGCCCTCAATATATGGCATCTTAGAGGACATTCCAATATAATTATAGCATGTACACATAGTGTAGGGTATGATAAAGATTATACTGGTAAGTTATCATGTGTTGTTTATATCTGTTGAGAGCTGATCCTGTTCAAGTGTCCTCCAAGACTCCTTGTCACAGGCTAGCTATAGGGAAAAGGGACCAGTCAAAGAAACACACCCTGAGCAGAGCCAAAGAAACACACTTTGGCCCTGCAACCAGAACTAAAGAAATGTACCCTGACTCTGAAACCAGTGCCAAAAGAACACACTTTGTCCCGGGAATCTGAGTCAGTGGAAGAAATGCACCCTGGCCCTAAAATTGGAGCCAAAAGGCTAAAAAGGACCAGGAAAGAAACACACTTTGGCCCTGAAACCAGAGCCAAATCTGACCCTAATCCTGTGCAGAAAACTAACCAATCCCTGAGCAGAGCTCTAGCCAATCTGATCTCAGCACTAAAATCTGACCAATCCCCACTCTGGAAGCCCTATATAAACCCTGTGTCTGTTCACCTTGTGTCTGTTCATGCTACCAGGCTGTCCTCTGCTGCTCTGGCATAGGGTAGCCACTCTCCTGGATCCTTCCCTCCCAATAAACCCCTTCAATGAGCTTTGGGTGAAGATCTTTTTTTGTGGTGGTGATGGAGCAGAGGTGACCTTGGGCAGAGCAGGGCTGTAACACTTGCCCAGGAAACCTTTCCTTGGCAGAGCAGAGTTGTTACCCTCCACTCCCTGCTCCGCTCTCTGCTCTCCAGGAGCAGAGCTGAACTGTAGCAACTTCACTGGAGCGAGCAAAACTGCTACACTAGGTGAACATCCCCAGCTGGAAGACCCTGTCCTGTGGGAGAGGAGTTGATACACTGGGGAAGCCTTTCTCTGAGGCTGGGCTGTAAGCAGCTAAGCTTACTGCAACCTGTGGTGGTCCTTGGCTCCCAAGCTCCAGGATACCTTTCATCTGAGCTGTGTAACACTCAGTATTCTGTGGCTCCCAAGTGCCAGAATACCTGACCCACTCCTGTTCCATCCCAATCCAACCCAAAACGCTTACACTAGCCCCTACCCCAGGACAGGGAGGAAGGAGAACAGCAAACATCCAAGTGCATTAAAACCTTGTGCCCTTGTGAACAACTAGAAGGAAAGCTATTTCCAGCAGAGGTTACTGTTGGTTATCCCATGGCATAAGAATTCCAGCAGTGTTGAACTGGCAAGATGGCTCCGGAGTTAAGGGGCTTGTTGCCAAGCCTGACTTGACCGGAGTGTGATCCCCAAGATGCACGTGGAAGCAGGGAACCGATTCCTGCAAGTTTTTTTTATGACCACTACATGTGTGCCATGGCACTCACCCCATCTCCATCACATACACAGTTAAATAAATGTAACAAAAAATAAGTTTAAAATGCCCTCCACACATACAGTTAAACCAATGTAATAAGACATAAGTTTAAAATGCCTACAGTGTAAACACAAAGCCAGAGATTTGTCCATAGATGAAGACATGCTGCTCTCCCAGAAAAATCTCTCAGTCAGAGACGTCAGTAGTTAGCAAGATCAGCAAGATGCTGTCCAGGCAGTTGATATGGGGAGTGGGGGCTGGGGTGGGAGAGTGTGTTCATTAGTGCTGATTTGTTCGCTTGGTTTTTAAAATATTTCTTTTAAAACTCTGTGGTTCCTTTGTCCAATGTAAGCTCGGGATCCAGCTTACATCCCCTTGCTGGTGAGATGAGGCACCTAAGGCCACCACACTGCTCTCCAAGAGTCGGCTGGCTTCCCACTGCCTGCTACACATGTCTGCCAGGGAGGAGACTGCCCAGGAACATTCCAGCCCAGCCAGCTCTGGGAAAAAGCCAGCGATCTACACCTATAAGCACCATCTCCACATAGAACCAGGCTGTCTAGCCACGAGGATGATGTCCTGACACTGCTTAGCTGTCCGGGGATCTGATCCTGCCTCTTCTTTTTCCTTTACCCCAATAACCTCAGGCTCAGCTTTATCTGTCCAGTCAGTGTCTCAGTTGGGCTGAGACTCCAAGCATGCTGGGCCACTGGATCAAAGCCACCCTGAGAACCCATTTGGTGGTGACCACCTGGAGGAGCTGAGGCAGGAGCCTGGCAGGGTTTTCAGTACAGCCAGTGCTACACAAGCGGGACATCCTCACAAACGAAATACTGTAAGTGCTGCCAGGAACCTTCTCTACCTTCCGTTGGCACAGCTGCTTCCTTCCTCCCTGACAAAGCAGGACAGCTAGGGCTGGCAACTCCAACCCCAGGCCCTGTCTTTAAACCGCCAGCCCCAACTACTCCTCCTCCTCCTCTTCCTCCTCCCCCGCCCCCTTTGCTTTTTGAGACAGGGTTTTTGGAACTCCTGTAGGCCTGTAGACCAGGCTATCCTTAAACTCAGAGATTCACCTGCCTCTGCCTACTGAGTGCTAGGATTAAAGGCGTGCGCCACCACCGCCTGGCTTTTAGCCCCCAACTTTTAAACGTTCCCCTTTCCACTTTCCTGGCCCCCATCCCTGCAAATCCCATCACACAGCCTGCAGTCCCAACCGGGCCACTCATCTCTTCTCCCACTCATCTCAGTCCCCACCCAGAAGAGTGAGCCCCACCCCTCATCTCTTGGTCCCGCCCCCATCTCTGTCCCCGCCCCTTTCTCTCTGGTCCCACCGCTCACCAGCGAGGCCCTGCCTCCATCCTTTGGTGCGGTGCAGCAGCCTCAGCCCCGCCCCCGCAAGGCAACCCGCTTGCGTGCGTTGACGCCACAAAGCCCCTCTGCTACAGTCCCTGGTTTCTCCCAGTACTGGGGTCAAACCCAGCCTTTACCCCACGCGGTGCACCTGGCCCTGGCACCTGGCACCGTGCAAGACTCCTTCCCTGTGAGTATTCGCCACCCAGAGAACTCTGCTGCACCCCCAAGGAGACTTTAGGACCACCTCCTGTCTCAGCCAGCCATTCTGTCCTCAACAAAGGTCACACTTTGAACCATAGGCTTCAAACGTGGACCACTCGAACTACACAGGTCTCCTAGATGAGCCTTCATTGACAGGACTGCAGGTGACCAAGAGCATCGAGCCGGGCTCCTACTCCAGCGGAGCCAGGTCCCCTAGCCATCTTGGCCCCGGTGTGACCAGGTGGTCAGCGGTGCACCCCTCAGGGCTCTTGAGGTTCGGGAGGGGCTAATGCCCTGTGCTCTGCTCACAGAAAGTGCAGATGAAATTAACGTGATAACCACTCCGGAAAATCTGAAAATGCCTTGACTTTAAGGATTGAGAAGAGGGGACAGGAGAAAACCACTGAGTCAGCCTCATTTCCAAACTCTCAACAAGGACTTGGGAAGCAGAGTGTGTGAAGTTCAGAGTCTCCACTGCCTGGGGTAGGAGGACTCCAGGGGTGCCAGTACATTGTACATGTGTTTACGAGAGTGTGTGGGTGTGCATGTGTGCCTGTGCACATGTGTGTTGTATGTTCACATGCCTGTGCTTGTCACAGTTTAAGTGTGCTTGCACATGTTTTCTGTGTGAGTGTGTTCATGTGTGGTTACAAGCATGTTTATCTGTGTGCGAGCTTGTATGTACGTGTGTCTACGTGTCTACACATAACCCCTGTATTTGTGTGTACATGTGTTCATGTGCATGTGTCTGTATGGTGCCCCTATATCTGTGTGTTTGGCGTTGTGTCTTTTCTGCGTTTCACCCTAACTGAAAGGGTCTCCATTCCTTTCTAAGTGTCTTTGTTTTACCAGGAATTTGTTAAGGACATTATTCTGAAGCTTGAAGCCTTTTGGGGTGGGAGTGTGACCCTAGGGCAGAGGTAAGGCTTGGCTGCAAATGTACAGCACTGGGGAGTCTCAGAAGGCATAGGAAGGAACTTGTAGCTCAGCTGACGTAGGGGCCAGGCCCAGGCTTAGCAGTCAAGGTCCAGGTGTCTGGCTATCATTTCTTCAGTGTCTTTGTATCCCACACGGGGACACCAGCTTTTGTCCTGCTCCATACAGAGAAAGTATGCACCGTGCACAGGGGCCCAGGAGAGTTGGCTAGGGCACCAGTTCTGTGACTCTGCCTGCCAAGGGGTTGCAGGGGAAGCCTGGTCTTGTTTCTCCCCAGGAGCCATGGATGCTGTGGAACTTGCCAGAAGGTTGCAAGAGGAGGCCACATGTTCCATCTGCCTGGACTATTTTACTGACCCTGTGATGACGGCCTGTGGCCACAACTTCTGCAGAGAATGCATCCAGATGAGCTGGGAGAAGGGGAAGAGCAAGAAAGGGAAGAAGAAGCAGAAGGGCTCCTTCCCCTGCCCCGAGTGCAGGGAGATGTCCCCTCAGAGGAACCTGAGGCCCAACCGCCTGCTGACAAAGGTGGCCGAGATGGCCCGCCAGCACCCAGGGCTGCAGAAGCGAGACCTGTGCCAGGCACACCAAGAGCCCCTTAAGCTGTTCTGCCAGGATGACCAGAGCCCAATTTGTGTGGTCTGCAGGGAGGCTCAGGAGCACCGGATGCACAGGGTGTTGCCTGTGGATGAGGCTGCCAGGGATTATAAGGTGAATGCAAGCTCAGGGGCTTCCGTGTCCAGGAGGAGCCTTGATCAACACTGGGGAAGTATGACCCCAGGGGCCAGTGATCCCTGGTTGGGGATGGGGGAAATACTGTCAAGTTGGCCTCTCTACTCAAGAGAAAGGTAGAACTTCATTTCATAATAAGAGCACTGCTGCTAACTAGAGAGAGGGGAGACAGGCACAATAGGAATGTGTGTAGGTTGGAGGCCAAGCAACTTGGAGGAGAGGCTTTTGCCCCCAGGACAAAATGGGTGTGTGACTGATCTGCATGTTCCCAAGGATGGCCTATAGTATCCATGCTTATTAATGAGGGATTTAATTAAGTGTATAGCAAGCAAAAGTAGAAACAGTGAGTAACAGATAGAAGCCGTAGAGAAATGCAAAGTTTGCAACACCCAGCAGAGACAATCGAGGAGGAGCCTGACCAAGAGAGCAAAAGGCATCATTGTCAGTTCTGGGACTTAGAAACATCAGCATAATCGACTGGGGAAGTCGAGGCAGCAGTCGGGGGAGTTTGTTTAGTTTCGTTTCAGCTGAGCTTTCCCTCCGTGGATGTTTCTCTGGACTGAAAGGCTGGCTTCTCGTTTCCACCGGATGTGTTTGTACCACAGGATAAACTGTGGGATCCTCTGTGGGAAGGGGCTTGTCTTCTAGTTGTTCTCAAATGCACATTTTTACTCTTGGGTTATTTGCTGTGTATTTGTTTCCCTACTTGTCACAGAGTTAGGGGGCCAGCCAATCCCAGGACAAGGAGCTTTCAAGGACATTTTGAGACAAATGTGGCTGAGTGTAAAATAGATTCAGGGCAACCCTGCTTGCTTCCAAAGCCAGCTGCTCAGTGTGTTCAAACCCCATAGATAATTTACCTATATACTGTCTACTACAGTGACCTAACCTCCAAACCCCAGGTCACTGAAGGCTCCTTTCCTGAACCGCATGGGTTCTAACTCAGGGCCCACGGCCTGGCGTGGCCACTGGAGTGGGAAACTGGAACCTTCAGGCATCCATTTTTACTTCCTGACTGAAGGTCATTTGCTCATGTGTGTTGTGTTCTGAACGCCTCACTCCGAAGCCATCTGTTTTTTTTTTTTTTTTTTTTTGGTCGGGGGTGGGGACTGCCTGGTTTCTTGAGCTCCTATAAGGGTCTCTGGGGTCAGAGTAGCCTGAAAGACCACAGCCCAGACATTGGCAGAGATGGGATCGACTGACCTGAGTGTGTTTGTGTATCCAGATGAAGTTGGAGGAAGACATAAAGTATCTTCGGGAGGAGTTGATAAAGACAGAAACGCTGCAAGCCAAGGAGGAACAGACCTTAACTGTGTGGCAGGTGGGTTTCCAGTGGCTGTCCATACCCATCCTCATCCTAGACAGGAAGAGCCTTTCAGGGTGGGAGGCTTCAGGGAGGAAAAGGTTCCTAGACTCTGCAGGTTTGGTGGCTGACCAGAAAATTAAGTCCACACAAGACAGGTAAGGGGATTTTTAAAAAATGATTTTAATGATGAGGAGGACCTCACATGAAAAATGAGTCTCAGATGATGGAGTATGCTAGAACATTTGTCAGAGGACAAAATTACAGCACATTTACATTTTTTTGTTTGTAGACAAGGCCTCCATAAATTATTCAAGTTAGCCTTGAACTCATAGGCTTAAGTAACCCTACCTGCCTCAGCCTCCCAAATAGCTATAACTATAGGCATATACTTCTGTACCTGGTTAGTTCAGATGAATTTTTTAAATTCATTTTGCCTGCATGTGTTTATGAAAAATGTGCATGCAGTGCCAGACAAGGCCAGAAGCGGGCATCGCACACCCCCACCCCCACCCCTGGAACTGGACTTAAAGATGGATTAGCTACTATATGGGTGCTGGGAACCAAACTCTGGTGGTCCTGTGGAAGAGGACCTTAACTGGAAGTGCCCTTAACTACTAAGCCATCTCTCCAGCCCCCTTTTCAATGATTTTTTCCTTACTTTAGATCTTAAGTAGCTTTATTTTATTCTTGAAACAGGCAATGCTCCCATAAAAATAAATGTGGGCTGCATCTTTGATCTTAAAGATTGAGGGCTGCAGATCTGCCATTCCATGTCAAAAGTATCTTTTGTGTAAGGTGGGATCAGGGAGACAATAGGACAATGACTAGTTGGCTAACAGTCGGTCGTCTTGTGGTACTTTTGGGGGACTGACTTCCTCCTGTTCACTGGAAATAACTTATCTGGGGGGCAGTTGGGCTTGCTGGTGTATATGTGTGACTCCAGAATTCAAGGAAGCAAAAAGCAAAATCTGTTAGTTCAAGGTCAGCCTGGACTACATAGCCAGTTTCAGGCCACCCAGGGCTACTTGGGAAGAGCCTGTCTCAGAAGAGGAGGAAGATAACACACACACACACACACACACACACACACACACACACACACACACACACACGGTGTAGGGAAGAAGGAAGGGGTCTGTTTGAGAAGTTTAGCTGTGAAATTCTGATTTCTTAGGAATTTTGGTCAACAGCTTTAGGGACATGGGTAACTCCAATCTGACTTTTAGCCTGGTCATTAGGAGCCCCCTATCCTTTTTATGAACCATGCCTGTGTCCTTCCTTGAGGTCCCACACCAGGACACACAGGCATTTGAATGTGTGGATGCTAACACTCAAGGTCTGATCTGTTAGGGTGTAACAGGGATGGTTTGGGGGACGGCTGTCAAAGGTCCTGGTTCCCAGCTTTGCCCAAGAGTTCTAGGTCACCAAGTGTTCAGAATTGTTGTGTGGCAACCTTGAAGGAAAGCCATCTTTTCTGGGAACATCTCATAGCCAGGATTGGGGGGTCCCCACTCTCGCAGGAGAGAGTGAAGGAGCGGAGAGAGCGAATCTTGGAGGAGTTCCAGAAGGTGGTCCTGTTTCTGGTGGAAGAAGAACGCAGGCTTCTCCAGGTCCTGAAGAAGGAGGAAGAGGATACCTTGGGGAGGCTGCAGGACAGCAAGGCCTGCCTGGATCACCAAGGCCGCTCCCTGGACCTGCTCTTGCTGCAGCTGGAGGAGCGGAGCCAGCAGGAGCCGCTCCAGATGCTGCAGGTGAGTCCAGAGGATGCTGAGGATCCTTGGGACTTTCCCTGTGCTGCCACAAACCTGTGGGTGCACCGTGAGGTGGGGCATGGTCTGAGGATGTGCACTACACCCGGGAGTTTGCGGAACAAATGCATCCTGACAGATAGGGCTGGGCTGGGCTGAGGGTCACCCTCCCATCCATCCCAGCTGCCCACCAGCACACACACACACACACACACACACACACACACACACACACACACACACACGTACGCACGCACGCACGCACGCACACAGACAATAAAATACATTTCTAAAAAGAGGCTTACTTTAACCCAGAGTTTTGGATGTCCAAAAGCATGGTACTGCCAAGGGCTCTCTTCTGGTGCAGGCCTCGTGACAAAGGGCGAGCCAGTGTCTGCCAGCAGGAATGAGGCAGGCTGACGACTTCACCGCCCCTTCTCATCTCTGTTCACCCTGGAGGACCTGTGACCTAATCACCTCTTAAGGGCCCTCACTGTGACTGCTCAGCACTGCAACACTATAAATCAAATGCAGCCTGATTTTCCTGGGAACACACCACATCTAGACAAGGCAATGGGCCACTGGGAAACACTATAAATCAAATGCAGCCTGATTTTCCTGGGAACACACCACATCTAGACAAGGCAATGGGCCACTGGGAAACACTATAAATCAAATGCAGCCTGATTTTTGTGGGAACACACCACATCTAGACAAGGCAATGGGCCACTGGGAAACACTATAAATCAAATGCAGCCTGATTTTCCTGGGAACACACCACATCTAGACAAGGCAATGGGCCACTGGGAAACACTATAAATGTATGCATTTTCCAAGCCAGGGTGTTAATGGTGCTTGAGGAGCCTGTAGATTCTGGGTTTCTAGAAACTCTCCAGGGAACCCTAGGCTCACCCTCAACCCCTCTCCCTCCTCAAACCATGCCCACTGTACCCCCTGCCCTCACTTCTTTGCCCCATTGTTCTATGCTCCTAACTGGATCTGCAGCTGCTTGAGTCCAAAGAAGGAGACTCAGGACCCCACCCTCCTTACCCACAGCTCAACTTCCTGAATGGCTTCATTTATGCTCAACCTGAAAACACTGAAGGGAACACTCCAGAAGTAAACAATCCTTAAGTTTTAAAGGGCGTGCGGTGCGGCTCTGGGGACACTCAGATAAAACCCACCTAGGGTGTGAGCCACCACTTTGTCCACTCCGTCCACGCTGTGTGTTATCACCAGTCATTGTCGTGACTATGAAAGCTATGGGGGGATCTGTGGGAGTGCACACGTTAAGAGCTAATGATGGCTCCAAAGCACAGAGGCAGGGAAGCTGGCAGTTTACATGTGCCGCAGAGAAGCCTGAGCAGCCTCCTTTAAAGGAGCTCTGTGCAAGCTGTGTGCCGGGTTGGCTTAGGTGCACGAGGAGCACAAACTTGCTATAGTGCATTGTTAGGGGCGGTTCTGTTCTATTAGCATTTTCCTGTGCCAGACTCATAAACTGCATCACACACACACACACATACACACACACACAAGCGTGGCGTATACAAGGACTGCTGATCATGGCTTACTTGACTCATGGGAGGACATTACAGGTAAAGAGTTTGGGAGTGGTGTGGCTCAGTGGTAGAGTACTTGCTTAGCAGGGGCCCGTGTTCTGCCTCCACTACTGGAAAGGTTAAGTTCTACAGGTTTCCCAGAACTTGGCACCTTCTCTCTGCTGACCTCAGGCTTGTGACCATGGACTGAGGAGATGCCGAGGGTCTGCCAAGAGGAGGGGGAGGGAAGATCCAGGGAGTGCGGGAAGCTGTTATCTGGGAAGGGAATGTCCAGCAGAGGACACGCCCCAAAGTAGGGGGCGACAGAGGTAACTTAGGTACTGGCGAGCAATACCAGCTCTTACGTGTCCTCCCCGTTGTTTGCAGGATATGAAGGACACCTTGGCCAGGTACTCTGTCACCCGCAGCAGAGGCAGTGGTGGAGGCGGGTGAGGGAGGCCCACATGGAGAGCCAGGGAGCATATGAGTCTGTGTTCCCTGGAGGAAGGAGAGCCTCAGCACGCAGTACCCAGAAGTGGCCCTCCCCGTGGCCATCAAGACCGTGTGCAGAGTCCCAGGGCAGATCGAGGTGCTCAAAAGTTTCCAAGGTAAGCGGAGACCTGGGTCTCCAATCATGAACCCCAGTTCTCTGGGCTGCTGTGCCTTACCCAGATGCTACCCAGGACCAGAGCTATCAACTGGAGGTAAGTTGCCAAGTCTGACCGTCTGCTGAATTAAGATTGCCCCAGTTAGCCCCATCGCCAGTTTCCACGGGGATTTGCAGTGTGGAACCCTTAAGTTGCCCCAGTTGTTAGCTGGAAATGGTAGAGGGGAGGCTTTTGATTAAATATGGAAAAAGAGACATTTGGTCACCAACCCCCACCCCCCGCCCACCGTGAGGGTTCTGGCCCTTCCACCTTTGACCTTGAATGACCCCTAATTTTCTCTGTCCACTTGGACCCTCTGCAGAGGCTGTGGTGCCGGACCCCAGCTCAGCGTACCCCTATCTCCTCCTGTACGAGAGCCGCCAGAGGCGATACCTGAGCCCACCGCCAGAGGGCAGCGCCCCCCTACAGCAAGGACCGGTTCGTAGCCTACCCCTGCGCTGTGGGACAGAAGAGCTTTTCCTCTGGAAGGCACTACTGGGAAGTGGGCATGAATCTCACCGGGGATGCACTCTGGGCCTTAGGCGTGTGCAGGGACAACGTGAGCCGGAAGGACAGAGTGCCCAAGTCCCCGGAGAACGGGTTCTGGGTAGTGCAGCTGTCCAAGGGGAAGAAACACTTGTCCCTGATAACCGACTCCACTCCGGTCACACTCACGGAGCCTCCCAGCCACATGGGCATCTTCCTGGACTTCCAGGCCGGGGAGGTGTCCTTCTACAGTGTGAACGATGGGTCCCACTTGCACAGCTTCTCCCAGGCTACCTTCCCTGGGCCGCTGCTGCCGTTTTTCTGCTTGGGTGCTCCAAAGTCGGGCCAGATGGTCATCTCCACAGTGACCATGTGGGTGAAGGGATGAGGCCTGGGACCAGGCACAGTCGCTGGGCCGTGCCCTGGTTCCCTGGAAGGCAGGACGCTTCACCACCGTGGCCACCTACCCAGGCTTTCGCTGGGGCGCTAAGAGGCAATACCTATGCTGCAGGGCAATTAACCGAAAAAAAATCACGATTAAAATGCTCAAATATGAACGGACTACTGATAAGATGCGAGGTGGGGTAACTTTGGAAAGAGTCCCGTCATTTCCGAGTGAACTAATTTCTAAATATATACCTGCTCACCGTACAAGTTGGTCTTTCGCTTTGTTAGCTTTGCCCCGCCCCAAAGCTTGCTAATTCCTTGGTTCCTTCTCTGACCATTCCGGTCATTCACAGAGAAAGTGGAGCCCCACCCCGCCCCCTTAGGATAGTTAGGGAGGACTCCTCTCCCCTTCCTCAGCGTACACGTCCCTAACACTCCCTCTCCGAAGAACCCCTCGCTCTCCATTGCTGTCACAAGTTACTGACACCCGGGACTCAAGTGAGGCGGTGCACTGGCAAGCACGCGTTTGCGAAGTGGTTTCCACTGCGGGCATTCTGGACCCGCGGCGTGACACCGCGTCTCCTTTCCCCATGCCGGATGACTCAGGTCTGCTGCCAGACAGGAGGAGTGGCGTCGGGGGTGTCCGAGCGACAACAGTCCAGGGGTGCTGAGGGCTGTGCACACAGAGGCGCACCGAAAATCCTCCAACACCATTGCCCACCGCTTGGGTGTTTCCTATTCTCGGGATCGTCCTGAGCCTCAATATTCCCCTACTTCCTTTCCGCGGCTAAAGTTTACATCACGCGGGGCCTGTGGAAGCGGGGACACCACCTGCAGAGACCTGTCACTGTGAATGTAAAGCGCTCTAATTCGGTCCCACCCCCAGGCCGTGTGACAAGCAGTGGCCAATCCACGACAAAAGCGGGTTCCAAAAAAAAGTAAAAATAAAAATCAGTTTCCTACTTCCGCCGCGGTTCCTCTTCCGGCGGAAGTCTCGGAGCCTTGTACCGGGCGTACCCACTACACAGGAGGCCGGGAGTGTGGCCACCTGGACCGGGACCGTGCCCTCTACGCCCCCGCAGCCGAGTAGCCTGATTTCCGCGCGCTGCCAAGAGCCTGATCCAGGCGCTGCCTCCCGTACCATGGCCGCCCCGGACTTGTCCACCAACCTCCAGGAGGAGGCCACCTGCGCCATCTGCCTCGATTACTTCACCGACCCGGTGATGACCGACTGCGGTCACAACTTCTGCCGCGAGTGCATCCGACGTTGTTGGGGCCAGCCCGAGGGCCCATACGCGTGCCCCGAGTGCCGCGAGCTGTCGGCGCAGAGGAACCTGCGACCCAACCGCCCGCTGGCCAAGATGGCAGAAATGGCGCGGCGCCTGCACCCGCCGTCCCCGGTCCCGCAGGGCGTGTGCGCGGCGCACCGCGAGCCGCTGGCCACCTTCTGCGGCGACGACCTCTGCCTGCTGTGTCCCACCTGCGAACGCTCGGAGCACTGGGCTCACCGGGTGCGACCGCTGCAGGACGCGGCCGAAGACCTCAAGGTGCGTTCCGCCAGGTGCAACCGGTCCATGTCTGGAGCGAAGGGATGTCCGGTCACTGTCCCGCCTTGGGCGAGGGAGTGTGAGTTAACCTGATGCGGTGAGGGGGTCGGGATGTAGCCTGTCTTATACCAGGATGAGATGCACAGACGTTCTGGGAAAGCGGGTGTTGGTTGTCAGGCCTGACTGGGCTGGGGAACTGGAGGGGCCACTTGAGAGTAACAGTTTGACTGACGTCAGAGTTGATTCTCGGCCAGTATGTTACCATCGAAGCGTGAAATCAGGCACCAAGTCCCCTTGGCTTTGGATTTCAGCACAGGGGTTTGGAGCTTATAAACAGATCCGTGAGGTTTTCGTTTTTGCTTGGTCCTTACCGGAATCATTGGTCCCGCTGGCTTCCTTTCCTGCCACCGCAAGCCCCCTGATGGTGCTGAAAAGGACCCACGTCTCTCTAGAAGTGACATGATAAATCCTGGCGGGGTCACACTAAAGCTTTCTCTATTACAAAAGAAGAAAAACCTTGTCCTCGCTCTTGCTAGCTTCATAGTCTGAACTTAATTAAACTGGCAAGACAGATGAACAGGAGAAAGACACAGCTTAAGTAACATTTTAGATTTCTCCTGCACAGGGGTCACACAAGGGAAAGAAAAGGAGACTCAGAGAAGCAGGTACTAGGGCTTTTATCCAAACGGGTGTAGAGCTCCCAGAGACAGACTGGGACTCTAGGTCTCAGCAGCTGTGGACCTGTCTAGGAAGGAGTTGGCTAATGGCAGAGAGGGTGCCTTCTGCCCAGCCCTCTCCTCCACGTGAACATCACAGCCCCCCGGCAGGTTTGAGTGTATGGACACAGCGTGCTTTATCAGGGGACACCAGGGAATCAGCAGATGGCTTTTACCTGTGACCAACGTAAGCTGTTCCTCCACACACTAGAGCTTGGGATGGGGTGCCCTGGGCCATGCTTGCCTTCATGGTTCAGGTGACAAGTTCACTCTTTGGCACTGGCTCAGAGGGGAGCATCCAGTTCTCCAGTAAAACCAGAGAGATGGGAGGGTTCCATAGGCAGGAACTGGGAGTCGAGGGGAGAACCAAGGCCTGACCCAGGGCCTCCTGGGTTCCATTCAGCTCTCACCACACCCAAGTAGGAAGTCTGCATCATGACCTAACCGTTGATTGGTTTGTGTGCAGCCAGAGCTTGAAGTTTTTGCCAAAGCGTACTCATGTTGCTACTTCACAAGCCCACTCTGTTTAAAATGCTATCCCTGGCCTCAGCATTGGAAATGGGGAAATGGGGGCCAGAGAGATGTCTCGAGTAGTTAGAGTTTACTGTTCTTCCAGATTGCCCAAGTTCGGTTCCCAGCACTTGTACTAGACAACTCATAGCTGCATATAACCCCAGCTCCAAGGGGAGCTAACATGCCTGGCCTCTAAAGACATGTACACGGAAGTGCACATCCCACTTACAGACATACACATAATCAAAAATGAGAAAATGCCCAAGTATAGTGACTCATATATGTCATTCCAGCCACTCAGAAGGCTGAGGCAGGAAAATCAAAGTTCAGGCTCTACTTGGGTTGCAGAGTAAGTTCAAAGCCAGTGCAGATAATGTAGTAAGATCATGTTATAAATAAAAAGGGGCTAGATGTAACTCAGTGGTAAGGCACTCACTAAGCATGCGTGAGGCCCAGGGTTCCAGGGGAAGTCACTGGAAAGAGCGTAGTACATGCACGGTCGGTGTACGTGATGACAAGTGACAAGACAGGCCTGGACTTTCAAGAGAAGTTAGGGAGCATCTGGGACAAGCCTATGACATCCACCATAACTCTGATGAGGGCTGAGCCCCGCTGGCAGCGAGGGTCCATCTCTCCTCTATGACTGACTTCAGGATTCCCCCAGCGCCATGTCCAGGCCTAGAGTTTATGGGGTCTGGACTGATACAAGCAGACCCTACTGAGATCAACACAAGCCACCCAATTGGCCTGTTTATAGGAATGTTTGCCATTCTGTAGTACGTAAAACTGCAAGAAAGTAGAAATGGAAGCTGGATCAGGTCCACCCTAGGAAAATGAAGGACTGGGAGAAAAGATGGAGTAGGAAGTCTAGTTTGACCTCTTTTGGTGCATTCCCTCTTGTTTTAATCACAGATAGCGATGGCACACAGCCCTGGAGGCTGTCCAAGGTCAAGGCTATCTAATCAGGGCTGCTTCCCTGCTCACAAGTGGCCCCCTTCTTGCTGTGGAAGAAGCAGGAACTCAAATCCCATCCAGAGGGCCTTACTCTCATAGCCCAATCACCCTCCAGAAGTCTAGCCCATCACCTAGGTGGTCAATACTCATAGATGATCAGATATTCAGCTTGAGAATTTTGAGGGATACTTAAGCCTTAGCCTCTGATTTGCTGTGACCCCTTGTGACCACAGGGAAAGAGGAGGGGGCAGTGGTTTGGAGGGAGAAAAGCTCAGTCTTCAGTGCCAGCTTGGTGGGCGTGTCCTGTTGAGGGAGCCTGGATGCACCCACCAAGCAGGGAACAAGTAGTTGTCTGCTTTGCAGGGGTGAGTGGAGCTTAGGGCCATGGGACTAGAACAAAAAATGAGAAACCTTGACTATGACATTTGGTGAATTTGGGGAAGGGGAGGGCGGTTCTGAACTTTGGTCACTAGTGGGGATACTGCCAAATCCGGAGGATACCTGCCAGTGGTGGGCATTTTATCCTGCCTTTATCTGAACGAATTTCATTTGACCCAATGGGGAAGAGGCTGGGATAGGAGGTCAGGAGGGAAAAGGCAGACGTCTGTGTCTGGGCCCCACTTATAGGGCCGGATGCCTAATGGGATTCTCACAGCACCGCCTGGTCTCCATCCCACCAGGGGAGGCTGGAGAAGTCACTGGAGCACCTGCGGAAACAAATGGAGGATGCGATGCTGTTCCAAGCCCAGGCTGAGGAAACCTGTGCCTTGTGGCAGGCAGGTGCCGGGTCTGGGGTGAAGGAGGGAGCATCAAGTCAGTAGCTGGATACCAGACTAGCCTGAGACACCCTGTGGTCAGACCGGAACATGTGCATGTGTGTAATATAGGATGCCAAAGTTGGATTCTGTCCTTCTGCCCTGCACTAAGTTCCTGGGGTCCTGGCATGGGGCCATAGAGGGAGCAGACATGAGGGGTCCTAAGGATGGATTTGGATTGGATGTCAGGAGCAGGCCAGGTATGGGGGGTCTCCAGTAGTGGATTTAGGAGTCAGGGAGGTATTTGGCATTGGGGTAGATTTGGTCTAGCTTTGCGGTGGCAGCTTTGTCTGACTGACATGTGGAATGGACTTGGGGCCTGTGTGACAGATTTGGGTGTGGCTGGTCTCAGGAATGGATCTAGGTCTGATTACTCAAGGGATGGGTCTGAGTTGTGAATAGCCCAGTATTGTCAGCTATGTATCTGGGCAGCCGCAGGTGACAGGTTGGATATGTTGTCAGCTTTGAGGGTCTAGGCAGCTCCAGTGTCTGATCAGCCTAGGGTGGTGGATTTGAGGTGTGGGCATCCCCAAAGGGTCAGTCTCTGGTCTGGCATCAGGTCTCGCCCTCAGCTGTCCTTCTTGTGCCCTACAGAAGATGGTGGAGAGCCAGCGGCAGAATGTGC